AATGAAGTCACTTGTCTCTTTTCCAAATTCTCAAAACATAATGCAATGTTGCGGCATCATCGACTCGATCATGAAAATGCAAAGATTCTGAATCGTCTTGCTAAGAATGAAATGGTCCGTGGTCTTCCCATCAGAGATTTCATTACTTTTGAAAAATGTGTTTCTTGGGCTCAAAGCAAACACCATCGGAAACCACATATGCCAAATCAGGTCAACTCCATTAGTCAGGTGCTCCAGTTGTTGCATATGGACTTGTTTGGTCCGGTCAACATCCTCAACATCAATTGAAATTCATATTGTCTCGTTGTGATAGACAATATCTCTCGTTTCACGTGGGTTTTCTTTCTATCCAACAAAGTTGGGATTGCCGATCTTATCAAGAAGTTCATTGTGATAAAAGAGAACCAAACCAACCACCAAGTGAAAGCGCTTCATACAGATAATGGAACTGAATTCAAGAACGCTATTCTTGATCATTTTAGCGCTGTGAAAGGGACCATGCGTTAATTTAGCTCCATCCGAACACCACAACAAAACGGTGTTGCTGAACAGAGGAATCGAACACTACAAGATGCTGCAAGGACGATGCTTTGTGATTCAAAACTTCCAGTTTTCTTTTGGGCGGAGGCGATCAACACAACTTGTTATGGTCAAAATTTTGTCCTGATCAACAAATCCCAGATGAAGACACCATATGAGATCCTCTATTGACACAACCCATCTGTCAGCCATTTCCGAGTATTTGGTTGCCCTTGCACCCTTCTTCACTTGGAATTGAACCCTAAATTCAATGCCAAAGCTGATGATTGTTATTTTGTTGGTTACGCTGCTCATACTGCTTACCGGGTATACAACAAGAAGACGAAACAAATTGTGGAGAATTTTGATGTTCGTTGGCTTGAAGAGAATGAGACAGGCGCTAGAGTGGGTCCTGATTGGTTATTTGATTGCACATCTCTATTTAAATCTTTTTGTGTGTCATCTGATAACGAAGTTGGGTCTTCATCTAGCTCGAAGACTACAATTGAAGACGATGAGGAAGAGGTTGTCTACAGACTGTCATTGGTTTCTACTATTGATCTTCCGGAGGCGTCATCTGTTTCAATTGCTTCTCCAGAGTCACCAACATCACAAGTTGCTCCAGATGCTGATGCTACTCCTCTAACTCCATTTGAAAGAGAGTTCATGAACCAAGATGCTTCCATTGTGACTCAAAATCTAATGGAACTTCTTTTTCCCGAACAAATCACAAATGAGTTTGTAGCAAATCCACCACATGACTCAGTACATCTACTGTGGATTCTTCAGCACATGATGAAGCCATACATATCCATAATCTTCCTGTCACATTCAATTACATCAATCACGAAATTCCCTCTCGCATACAGCACGATCATTCAATAGATAATGTCATTGGCCAGCTGAGCGACGGTGTTCGAATGAAAAGCCAGAGTGGAGATGTCAACACATGTCTATATTCTTGTTTGTATCTCAAATAGAACCCAAGAATGTCGAAATGGCTTTGAATGAACCCGGCTGGGTTGATGCCATGCATGACGAGCTTAATCAATTCGAAAGGCATGGGGTTTGGAAGTTGGTGGAGCTCCCTATAGGCAAGAAATCTCTCGACACTAGATGGGTGTTTCGGAACAAGCAAAATTCTTATTGTGTAATTGTGAGAAATAAGGCGAGATTGGTGGTTTGTGGGTTCAGACAAATTGAGGGTCTTCATTATACATAGGTTTTTACTCCAGTTGCGCGCTTGGAGGCTATCTATATCTTCCTCGCTTACGCTTCTCACATGAACTTTGTATACCAAATGGACGTCAAGACAGCTTTCTTGTATGGCAAGGTGAACGAGGAGATTTATGTTGACCAACCCCCTGGGTTCGTTAACTCCAAACTTCTTAATCATGTCTACAAGTTAGATAAGGCTTTGTATGGATTGCATCAAGCTCCTAGAGCCTGGTATGCTACACTCACACAACACTTGCTTGACGATGGCTACTCCCACGACACTATCGATCAAACCCTATTCATCAAGCATGTCAGTTCAGGACAGATTCTTGTCCAAATATACATGGACGATATCATCCACGGGTCAACGAGTCCTCAACTTTGTAAAGAATTTGAGGACGTCATGAAAAATCGGTTCGAGATGAGTTCATTGGGGGAGATGACCATGTTTTTGGGGCTCCAGGTCAAACAATTTTTAGCCGGGATCCTTATTCATCAAGCCAAATATGTGGACGACATGCTCGAGAAGTTCGGGTTCAGAGATGCTAAAACTGCTTTGACACCCATTGCGGAGAGACCATTGCTAACTCCCGATCTTGAAGGCGAATCTGTAGATAACACGTACTACAGATCAATGATTGGATCGCTGATGTATCTGACTGCGAGTCGCCCAGACATGATGTTTGCAGTCTGTCAATGCGCATGCTACCAGACTAATCCTACACTGTCTCATCTTACTGCTATTAAAAGAATTTTTCGGTATATCAAAGGCACTCCAAAATTGGGTCTCTGGTATCCGAAAAATTATGAATTTGACCTTTACGCTTTTGCAGACAGCAATTATGGTGGTTGCGAACTTGACAGGAAATCGACTTTAGGCGGATGTCAATCTCTTGGAGATAGGCTGGTGTTTTGACAATGCAAGAAGCAGCATACTGTCTCGACCTCAACAACAGAAGCAGAATATGTAGCTGCATCTGCCTGCTGTTCTCAGGTCATATGGATCCAACATCAGCTGTTGGATTACGGTTTGAATTTTCAAGAAACCCTTATATTCTATGATAATGAGGCTGTGATCCAAATTCCTAAAAATCCAGTCCATCACTCAAAAACCAAGCACATCGACATCAACATTCATTTTATTAGAGAATGTTATGAGCGCTCGCTCATTCAGCTAGAACAGGTTCGCTCTGAAAATAATATAGCGGATCTGTTCACCAAGCCGTTCAACAAAGCTCGATTCGATGTGTTGGTCAATTTTTTAAAAATGATTAGCTTTGAGGATTAATTTTTCTTTAGGATACTTTAAATTTGCGTATTTTATTTTTATTCTCCTCCATGCACAAATTTAGGGGGAGAAAAAGAAAAAAACAAAACAAAACAAAACAAAAATTAGAAAATTCAAAAATCCAAAAACATTAAAAAAATTAAAAAATCCAAAAACAATAGAAAGTCATAAAATCCAAAAACAGAAAAATTTATGTGAAATGATGAGTTGATAAGTGATATCAAAAGGTGATAACTGGCAATCTGGATCTGTGTAAAGTACCAAAGCTGAATTGTCTAGGCTCTATGTTCGATGCGTTGGTAGGAACGAAGAATTTAATGGACTTCACTTGGCAAAGATGAACCTAAGAAATCAAATGACTTAACAAATCTTGACCTAGATATATCCATTCAGCCTGACAATACGATGCTCGGATAGATTGAGCAGGGAGATATACATGAGAATCCACCAGTTACACTAAAGAACCCGTATCTAGAACTATGGTTTTACTTTTCCTCGATGTACGAATTATGTCGTTAATTTCGGTATTGACGGAGCGAGTGGGGAATTCCGATAAAGTAGGTCTATAGAAAATTATTTTCTTTCTTTCTCACTGTTAGTCATATGTTGCCTCCTTTACGTGATTGGAAGAGATCCGACCTAGACTGCAACATATGCAAATTTATTTCCCTGCATATTATATCTATGAAATTCTTCCTATCTGTTAGCCATATGTTGTCTCCTTTGTGTGATTAACAATCCGACTTGGTACACAGCATATGCAACCTTCTACTTCTCAATCTCTCTAAAAACTATAATTAATAATAATCTAAATCTATCCTCTCTATGAATAATAGTCTGCTCACCTGAAGTAATGAGTATCTCGGAAGTTCTTGATTATTGAGGTATATCAGGAAACGGGAAACATGTTCTAGTACACCTAAAATTGAACAATTCTAGATTGTCTGTAGATCTCGCTACTCAATTTAGGTGGACAATAATATCCTTGGTAGTCGTCAGATGAATGGTTCATAGGAAGTTTTATCTAGGAACATATGATTAACTTGTCTTGTCACTTATAGCATGTCCAAAATTTGTCACAATTTTTTGTGTTTAAGTGGACCACAATACTAACGATCGACCAAATTTATTCAGGAAAGAGGAGGTACTGATAAATTGAAAAAGATTGTCTAACAACTTTGATCCCACATCACAAAAGGCTAATCAATTTTTAGTTAGAGGATTAAAGTTAGTATTAGAATTGAATTTTTATTATTATCCTTTATTTTTTATCATCTTATTTTATTTTTATTTTTATTTTTTATTTTTTATTTTTATTTTATCTTTAGGAGTCATATAAAAATTTTCGTTTAAAATTTTAATCCTCAAAATGATTTATTTTTTTGAATTTTTTGAGTATTGGGCTTGGGATTTTATTTTAATAAATAAAGGGAAAAGGAAGTCCAAGGATAAAAAGTATATAAAGGAGTGTGCGGTTCTTAGCTGGTCACTATTTACTAATTTCAAAAAGCAACCGCACACACCTCTCATCTTCCCTCTCTCGAAAATCAACTCAAATCCTTCATTTTTCTAGAAATTGAAGCTTGATATCTGTAAGAACTAATAAATCGACACCATCAATATGATTTTTATGCAAAAACAATCAAGAATAGATGGTTAATCGAGGGTGTTTATTCCTGACTGTGTGTGCGACCGCACACGCATGTGTGGCTGCACACTTCCTCCTGTGCGGCTGATGACGTGTGCGGCTGCATACATCCTTTGAGTTATGAATCTTGTGTGCGGCTGAACACATCTACGTTTGTGGTTGCACACTTCATTGTGTATGGCTTACCATGAACAGCTAGAATAGTTTTATGACTGTACACTCTGTGCAGCTGCACACTCTGTGTGTGGATGGATATAGGTGTATGGTTGTATACCTAAAATTGAAAACTTTTGCCCTAATGTATGCTTGTTTGTTTTTCAGATTAACATGGAAGAACTTGAATTTGCAAAGGTGCACAACTCAACAATCTTTCTTAAAAATCCTCCAGCTGCTCACAATGATCTAAAATTCATTGTTGATGGTCTTAAGAAATGTTGTCTGGTTCATGCTTTGACGACTAGTCCAGTGACTTATCAGAACTTGATCAAAGACTTTTGGAGAAGTGCAATCTTCACGGAAGATGACAATGAAGAAAAGTATCTTCAAGAAACTATACACGGAAAGAAGATTCTGATCTCAGAAAGTGTTATTCGGGAATCACTTCAAATCAATGACAGGACTGAGTATTCTATGGAAATTGAAGTGTATCAAACTCAAGACGTTCTGCACCACATGGAGTATGAAGGATCATTTCATCCTTACATCAAGAAACTACTTCCTCCTTGCTGCACCACATGTAAATGTTCATGATTTTCTCATAAACTATACCTGTTATAGTTTTTCAAAGTGCGCGTTCCGTTCGTATAGTAAACCCTAGTGTAATGCTCACTTGTTATGTAAAGTATAATATTGATAGTGACATAAATGATCACATATACTTAAAGTATAAATAAAGTGTTTGATTCGTGTATATATATAAACATGTTTTATTTCCAAAAGACAAGTCGTTATCAAGAATATATATTGCATACGAAAGTTCCCATGTAGTAGTTATGAATCACATAAGATTTACTTAATAAAAAGAGTATATAGTGAAACTTTATGTTACACATGATAATAAGCATGTGTTTACTTGTATTCCCCTCCCCCCCACCCCCACCTTAAAAGTTTATAAAAAGCATTTCGAAAACATTTGAAAGTGTAGTTTATAGGGGTATGAACTCACTTGATTGATTGGAGAAAGCGAGATGATAATCGAGCAGAACTTCAACTTGGAAGAGTTGATTTTCTCGGGATTCTCAGGAATCTCGGGAGTGTAGAACCTTCCCTCGAAACTTGAGTGTGAAAACCGGGGCTTCGGGATGGCTTTTTGAGGTAATTACGCGGAGTAACAACACTTAGATGGAAAGAGATGAGAACCACACCCGGCATCCTTAAGCTTCTATTTGTAGGAGCATTTCTGGTGTATCACATCGTGGCCAACTGTGACACATCATGGTGAGCAAAATCTTATCCTCTTCCATTGATGGGACGCCCTCAGTCACTTGCCGGATCTCGGCAAACTGTGCCACGTCGTGGCAGACCTGACAGCCTCGGATTTTGAGCCTTAAACTTGTAAAGTCCGTAACTTTCGCGTACGAGCTCCGTTTTCGATGTTCTTTATATGCACATGTAGGTGAGAATATATTCTACAACTCTCGTTTAGACTTCGTCGGCTAACTTTTACTTTATTTTTAACAGGCCGGGACTGGAAAAACCCGTTAAAAATCCATAACTTCTTCATCCGGCGTCTGTTTTTTCCAGACTGTTTACCATTGCGCTACTTTGGTTGAGACCTTTGATTCTTATTTAGGTTGTTTCAGCCAAAATTCTCTCAATCTCTATTTCGAGTTTTTAGCTGTCTACTGCTATATTCGGATCTTGGAAAAATCATAACTTCCTCATACGAAGTCATATTTGGACGTTCTTTTTATGTACGTTTACGGTTTAATGATATCTACAACTTTCATTTAGATACCTAAGGGTAAAAACTATTGTATTGAAACTTCGATTTTTCGTTAATCGAAGTTGCCGGTTTTGTCGGAAATCCTAGAATGGTCATAAATTCTTCGTTATAACTCGGATTTTAGTGTTCTTAGTATTTCTGTAAACCTTGATACAATATCTAGCATCCTAGGTAACCCAATAGAGACTTTTGTACCTTTTATTTTCAAAGTTAATTTCATTATTTCAAAAGTGGTTACAATGCCTGAATTTTTAGGTCATTATATAGAGTCGAAATATCGCGTTGTCTTATCATCCCCCGTTAGAGGGAATTTCGTCCTGAAATTTAATGTAAGAAAAACACTTGTGGAATAGGGAAAAAGATGTGGGTACTTGTGTTTCATCTGATCTTCGCGTTCCCAGGTGTATTCAGGTTCTCGCTTTGCATTCTAGCGGACCTTAACGATGGGTATGCGACTTTGTTTTGTTCTTTTAATTTCCCTATCTATGATTTGAATTGGTTCTTCTATAAAGTGGAGACTCTCTTTGATTTTGATTTCGTCTAAAGGGACGACGAGGGCCTCATCGGACAAACATTTCTTCAAGTTTGACACATGAAAGGTAGGATGTACGTTATCGAGTTCCTGCGGTAGATAAAGTTTGTAGGCTACTGGGCCAATCCTTGCAAGGATCTCGAAAGGCCTGATATACCTTGGGTTTAGTTTCCCACGTTTTCCAAAACATATTAGTCCTTTCCAGGGCGAGACCTTCAATAGCACTTGGTCTCCAACCTGAAATTCCAAGGTTTTCCATCTTTTGTCTGCATAACTCTTTTGTCTGTCTTTTGAAGCCTTTAGTCGTTCCCGAATTTGTAGAATCTTCTCGGTTGTCACTCTTATGATCTCCGGGCCAGTGAGAGTGATGTCGGGTACTTGTCCCTTGGCTAGTTGTATGTCACCCACTTCAGCCTAGCACAGTGGTGATCTGCACTTCCCGCTGTAGAGGGATTCGAATGGAGTGATAACTATTATTGTATGAAAATTCAACTAGTGGTAAATGTGTATCCCATGCTTTACCAAAATCGATTACAAAAGCTCTTAGCATATCTTCCAAGGTCTGTATGGTCCTCTCACTTTGACCGTCGGTTTGTGGGTGGGAAGCGGTACTCATGTCTAGTTTAGTTCCAAGAGATTTTTGTAGCGACTGCCAAAATTGTGAGGTGAACCTACTATCTCTGTTGTAGATAATGGATATTGGTACACCGTGTAGTCGTACAATATCTTGGGTGTATGTTCAAGCTAGCTTCTCCATCTTGTCGGTTTCCTTTATGGGTAGGAAGTGTGCGGATTTTGTTAATCTGTCTACGATTACGCAGATGGTGTCCAGCCCACCTGCTGTCTTGGGTAATTTGGTTATGAAGTTCATGGTTATTTGTTCCCACTTCCACTCGGGTATATCAGGTTTTTGTAGCAATCCCGGTGGCTTTTAGTACTCTACCTTGACTTTGGCGCAAGTCAGACACTTGCCCACATACGTAGTGATCTCTGCTTTCATGTTCGGCCACCAATACAGTTTCTTGAGGTCCAGATACATCTTTTCCGAACATGGGTGCATGGAGTATCGGGTCTTATGAGCCTCATTCATGACCATGTCTCTAAATCTACCAAACTTCAGTGTCCAGATCCGATCCACGAAGTAATGAACTCCGTCACCCTTGACTACAAGATTCTTATCCATTCCCCTTAAGGCTTCACTTGCCATGTTCTTTGTTCTTAAGACTTCCCTATGAGCTTCCTTGATTTGTGTGGACAGGTGTGAATGGATCGTCAGGATTAAGGATTTCGTTCAGCGGCCCGAGTATTCCTTTCGACTAAGAGCATCAGCTACTACATTCGCTTTTCCTAGATGATAGCGAATCTCGCATTCGTAGTCATTCAGCAGTTCAACCCATCGTCTTTGCCTCATGTTGAGTTCCTTTTGATTGAGAATGTGCTGAAGGATCTTATGATCAGTGAAAATCATGCATTTCGTGCCATATAGATAGTGTCTCCAGATCTTTAGCGCGAAAACAACTGCTCATAGTTCAAGATCGTGTGTAGTGTAGTTGACCTCGTGCGTCTTGAGTTGTCTTGAGGCGTAGGCAATGACCTTTCCTCGTTGCATTAGAACACATCGAAGACCTTGATTAAATGCATCACAGTAAACCACAAAGTCTTCTGTTCCTCCTGGTAAGGACAATATAGGTGCACTGCATAGAGCTTGCTTCAGTGTTTGGAAAGCAACGTCTTGTCTTTCTTCCCAATTGAAAGTAACACCCTTTTGGGTTAGGGTGGTAAGTGGTTTCGCAATCTTCGAGAAGTTCTGTATAAACCTTCGATAGTAGCCAGCAAGGCCCAAGAATTGTCGGATTTCTGTTGGGTTTTGGGAGTTGACCAGTTCTTGATTGCCTTGATTTTGGAGGGGTCCACGTGTATCCCATCTTTGCTAACCACGTGACCTAGGAAATCTACTTTCCGAATCCAAAATTCTCTCTTTAAGAATCTTGCGTATAACTTTTCGTTTCTTAGAGTTTCCAAGATTTGTCGGAGGTGTTGACCATGTTCTTTTTTTCTCTTTGAATAGATGATTATATCATCTATGAACACGATCACAAATTTGTCTAGGAATGAATGACCCACTCGAGTCATTAAGTCCATGAACACTACCGATGCATTTGTTAATCCAAAGGGCATCACTACAAACTCGTAGTGACCATAACGAGTTTGAAAGGCTGTTTTGGGAACATCTCCTTCCAAGACTCGCAACTAATGATACCCGGATCTCAAATCGATCTTCGAGAAGTAACTCGCTCCTTGGAGTTGGTCGAACAAGTCGTCAATGCGTGGTAAGGGATATCGGTTCTTGATAGTGAGCTTTTTGAGTTCCCGGTAATCGATGCACATGCGGAAAGATCCATCCTTCTTCTTTACAAACAGGACTGGTGCTCCCCAAGGTGAGAAGCTTGTCCTGATGAATCCTTTATTGAGCAGTTCATTTAATTGGCTAGATAATCCTTGCATCTTAGCTGAAGCCAGACGATACGGTAACTTAGCTACTGGGGTAGCTCCGAGAATTAAATCGATCCTGAACTCGACTTGTCGTTTAGGTGGGACTCCTGGGAGATCTTCAGGGAAGATATCAGGAAAATCGCAGACTTCCAAAATGTATTTGATGCCTTTCATTTCTTTTTCTTATCTACCACATGAGCTAAGAAGGCATGGTACTGCTTACGTAGGTATTTATGGGCTTTGACGCAAGAGATGATTTGTAAATTGGAACCGGGTTTGTCACCATAAATTACAAGAGTTTCGCCTTTTGGCAGATTTAAGCGGACGACCCTTTCGTGACAAAGTATATCGGCATGGTGCAGGCTTAACCAATCCATACCGATGATGACATCAAAGCTTTTTATGGTGATTGGCATTAAGTCGATTTGAAATGAATATTCGTTTAGAGTTAGTGTGTAGCCTATGTACATATCGTTTGTGCTTTCTGTCCTACCGTTTACCATTTCAACTGTAAATATCTTATTGAGTGATTCAGGGTTCTGTTTTTAGTATGTGTTTGAATTGATGACTCACGAAACTCCTTTCCGCACCACAATCAAAGAGTATGCATGCATAAGCGTTATTGAGGAGAAACGTACCCGTAACCACCGTGGGATCAACTATTGCTTCGTTCTGCCCTATTAATATCACTCTTCCTATGCCGCTAGCATTCCTTGCCTTAGGGCAATCTCGCTTATAGTGTCCAGCCTCACCGCATCCATAACATGCATGGCCCACCCC